AGAAAGAAAGAAAGAAAGAAAGAAAGAAAGAAAGAAAGAAAGAAAGAAAGAAAGAAAGAAAGAAAGAAAGAAAGAAAGAAAGAAAGAAAGAAAGAACCAACTCTCTCAGACCTATGACGAAAGCAATGGCAAGCTAGGTCTCTTGCCAAGAAAACTGCGGTTTGCCAGAAGACACAAATTGGAAGCAAGTCTGATTTCTTTTAAAGGAAATAACAAAGATGGCAAAAATGCATCTGAAAATAAGATTATTTATAATTTTGGATAATGTATTATATTCTGTTAGTGCAATCTTGCCAGCTTCTATCAACTTAGAGTTCACTATGAAAAGATTACAGAGAAGCAATTTCCCACAATTAATAACTTTATTTTGGATTTGCTATCGTATTCAATGAGAAAGAAAGAAAAAGAAAGAGGGAAAGGGAAAGAAAGAAGAAAGAAAGAAAGAAAGAAAGAAAGAAAGAAAGAAAGAAAGAAAGAAAGAAAGAAAGAAAGAAAGAAAGAAAGAAAGAAAGAAAGAAAGAAAGAAAGAAAAAAAGAAAGAAAGAAGAGAGAGGAAAAAGAGAAAAACAGAAATGTGAGGGAGGGAGGGAAGGGGGGAGATATATATATATATATATATATATATTTTCCACAGAAAACATGAGAGCCATGAAACCTGGGTAGGCATGGCTGGGGGGGTCATGTGACTGGGTGGGAGTGACATTGAGTTGGCCATGCCCACGCAGGTTTTGTGGCTCCCAGTGTTTTCTTTTCTGTGGGAAACTGGTCCAAATGACTCTTTGAGTGTTTAAGGTTGCAGACCTCTGTGATAGATAATAGCTGCTGCAAGGAGGTGGCTTGGATTTCCACCCTTTGCTTTGCATTGAGGGGAGAAATTACTGATGGTGCAGCATTACCTGGTTTTTCATTGGCCACTTCTTCTTTACAGAGTTCAGCGTTCTCCAGCCACATGCAGGACCAGCGAGTGGCCAGCATGTTTGAGCTCTCTGTAGCTTTTCGCCAACAGCACTTCCTAGCAGGCTTGGTGTTGATGGAGCTGGCACTCATCCTGGAGCCTGATGCAGAGTGGTAGGTATGATCTAGTGGGGAAAACAGGAACCTTGTGGCTGCATGTGTCCTCCTCCATTCCCTGACCACGATAGCCAAAAATGGGAGGTATTATCTTCCACTCCTTCAAACTAGAAATTAGTGTAAAACAATGTGTCTTAACTGTGTCTATGGCGATTTTCAGTCATCCAGGTCATGATTGTCCCAAATGTGCTTTTTCAAGAGGCAACTGGACATTCTGATTTTTCTTTGAAGATGTTTTGTTTCTTATCCAAGAAGCTTCTTCAGCTTCAGTGTCTCAACTTTGTTAACTTTAAGATGTGGACTACAATTACAAGCATGCTGATTAGAAAATTCTGTGGATTGAAAATTCATGCATCTTAAAATTGCCAAGGTTGAGAAACTCCCGCCTCTGAAACTCTGAAGACAGATAACAGAAAATCCTGATGCCCTGCCTACCTGGGTTCTTCATTTTGCCCTTCCTCTTAAGTGTAATTCAGAGCCACTAAAAGACTATCCATCTTTGGTCAAGGAGAGAATTTGCAGTAAAATGAGCTGAAGAAGCTTCTTGGATGAGAAGTGAAATGTCTTCAAAGAAAAACCAGAAAGTCCAGTTGTCTCTTGAAAAAACATCTTTGGGACAGTGAAATGTATGTTTCATCTCTTTTCCTGCAAATGTCAAAGTTTTGTCTGAGGCAGTGCATCACTGAAGGAAACATTGCCTGTGACAACTGCTATTTTATAACTTGTATCCTGGTGCTGGAGCGCCCTGAAATTTTCTCACCTCTTTGGGAATGTGGTAGGAGGGAAGGCCATGTGGGTTGTTTCATTTTGAAAGCCAGTGGAGATGGCTATGGGAATGCCTGCTTATCTATTTCTCAGAGTGGCTGGTACAATAACATCCTCACAGCTACTTCCGGTGGTGTTTCCATCGGCAACGGATCAGAGACTGCGATTGTGTGTGGCTTAGATCTGTGTTTACCTTGTCGGAGGATCCCAAACAGGACTGGATCCATCTCAGAGAGGTGGGGAAAGAGGGAGAGACATCAGCTAGGTCAAGGGGAGCTGCATCTCCCTTCCGTGGCTAGGTATACTCCCCTTGAAGACAGGAGTAAGCGGCAGTCTTTAATAGCTGCCCTAAAGATGGGAAGCTATTTGGGAAATAAGAACATGCTGGAGCGGAGAAGAAGTGGACAGCTGGGAGACCAGGCAAACTAGCTGACATATAGACATTAAAGTACCCTGGAATTAAGCTAAAAAGAAATTTTAAGAAAGAAAGATAGTAAAAGCGATGACCAGAGAAAGTAGGGAAAAAAATGACAGCTAAAAGTGGCTTTGAACTTTGAACTTTGAAATTCAAGGAGGAAGCCAGAAGAAAATACTTTTTTTTTAATTGGACAAATATATGATTTTGGCACTAAATAGGCATAATTAAAAGCTGAACTTAAATGTGTCAAAAAAAGAACAGTGATTGATGATTGGATTTATTGAATTTTTTGGAATTTAAAAGCCTTAAACAAAGAAAAGAAAGTGGGGGTGGAAGGGTGGAATTTGGACATAACAGAGAGCGCCACCTAATGGTAAAGGAAAAAATTTAGTCACTCTTTAAAAAACAGCTGGTTCTTTCAAAAATGAATGTTGATACAAAATAAGATAAACTTTATTACAACAAAATAGAAACCCTGGAAAGTGAAAAGTGAAAACATAGAATATCAAAATAAAAGAAAGAAGTGTGAAGAAATTACTCTTAGGGCTGTTTGGGGATTTTGCCATAAATTTGAATCTATGGATATTGAACTGTTTGATGAACTTGGAAAAAACTTAAAGAGGAATTAATAGAAGTTCATCGTTGGAAATAAATATCAAAGACGCTGGTCGAAATAAATTACTGGACAGTTGGTTTGGATTTAAAGACTGAAAAAAGGGATAAAGAAAATATAAAAGAAGTGTTTAAAAATGCAGAACTTTTTTTGGAACTAAAAATGGAATTAAGAAACATAAAAGAAATGTTACATGAAAAAGGTGAATCGTGCTGCCTAGCTTTGCAATCATTAGAAATGGCGATTCTGGAGGATGAAGAACAAGGAGTGCCAGAAGGGGAGGAGCTAATTAAAGAAGAGGCCAGCTTCAATGAACAAATGGAGCAGCGAACATTAAAGCAAAGGAGAAAAAGAATGGGAATTAAAACTTGGAGATTTGAGGAGGCAATTAAATAGGGAAATGTTTTGAAAGCCAAACAAAGAAAATGGAAACAGCAGAAAAGGGGATTACGGAGGGAAACTTTAAAGAGGGAGAAGGATAAAAACTGGAGTAAGAAAGGGAGGGGAAAAATGGAAGAAAAAAGAAGCAATAAGAGAAAGGACCAGGAAATAAGGAGATATGGAAATTGTTTAACAATGGAAAGAAATTGTTTAGTTAGAAGACACAGAGATAAGGATTAAGAAAGGGGATTCTGCAAGGTAATGTGGTGTAATATAACAGCATTTGAAGTAATAAATTATTTAGGAGGTGAAAAAATATAGATTTTCAAAACAAAAAGATTGGAACTGATGTTTCTTTGTTGCTAGACTACTTGTTATTGTTAAATTACATACAGAGGTAAATGGAATAAATGTGAAAAAGAGAAACTATGATACTATAAGTATGCTAAATATGTTTAATAAATTTAAGAATATAGTTAAAATGAATTATGAGGACTGTTATAAAAAGACTAACATCATTTTTTTATGATTAATTCAATAGATTAATTTATTTGAAATTATAAATGATTTAATGCAATTGAAGGGGAAAATACCATGCGGAATCTGGCCTAAAATGTATATGTGTTAAGTAGTTATTAAGAGATTATTGTTATGAACTCTTAAGGTGATAATTAAAAAGTGATTATATTGCGATAAATTATTATTATGAATTAAAGAGGAGTTAACTAAATGATGTATAAAATAAAGGGGTGATACACTCAAATTAGTAATTAAAGGGGAAATTTTTGAATTATTAGAATTAAGATGGAACTTTTGGAATAATGAAATAAGAATATGTGATGAAATTGCAAATGTGACAGATTAAAATATAAAGTATAATGAATATGAAGATATGAGAACTATTTAAAATAAAAAGAAATAAGAAAGGAATAGAAAATATATAAAATAAATTTGAAGAATATAAGAATATCTGAGAAAATTTATAAAATATGAAATGTAATTACATGATATGAAACCAAATGTGAAAGATGAATATGTAACCAAGATCATGTTTGTATGGAAACCATGCTGTTCACTAAAAGAGATGTTTTTGAAATATAAAAAATAAAAAACTTTTTACAAAAAAAAACATCCTCACACCTGTGGATTGGTTGAATCTGCCTCTGGCTAAAGGGAAGGGTCTCTACTGCTTTAATTCTACTTGTCTTGCCTAGATGTTGCTTTGAATGTATTGCTGTCATATCTGCTTAATAAAAGGTTTCTTTTGAAATACTTCATTTCAAGAGTCTTCACTTTCTTAAGTTAGGAGGAGAGGCAATCCTTAAACCCCCTTTACCTTCTGCTTGCAGCTTATGACTGAGATTTCCTGCCAGAGGCTACTTATACTTTGAGATTAGGGCTGGCTTGCTCAACCTACCCAGACTACAAACTAGAGCCTTCAAAGGGCTCTGGAGAGGATGAGCTCTATTCTCCAGACCAGAAACTGCAGCTTGCTTGAATAGAGCTTACATTTAGCCAGCAACTTGTTGTAACATTAGTGAAGTAATACTGAAAGAGCCATTCTAGGTATATGTGCAGGAGGCCATTCCCATTAAAATCTTCCCAACAAGGTTTGACCCCAACCATGCAGTTTTCTTTTTTTAAAAAACTAATTTTATTTAGTTTTTCACATTAAAAACAAAAATCTCTTTTTAGTGGACAACATATTTCCGAGTCATCACCTTTACATACAAATATGATAGCAATTATATATTCATATATGCATACTTAATTCAATTATTACCTTTTCCATTCCAAATTTTCAGTAAGGAGAGAAACAAACACATATATTCTAGCCTCTTTCATTAATCTCAATCGAAACATCTTTCTGTTTCATTTCAATTATTTCAAATATAATCTTTTAATATTTATTTTAAAAATAAAGATAAACAATATGTGTTTGCCTAATAATAATGATGATGATGATGATAATTATTATTATTATTATTATTATTATTATTATTATTATTATTATTAT